CATGACAAGATACTTGTAGTGCCCAGTAGGGGTCACGAAGGCAGTCTTCCACTCGTCCCCCTCACGTATCCGGATGAGGTTGTACGCTCTGCGGAGGTCTAACTTGGTGAAGATGGTGGCTCCGCGGAGATGTTCCAATGCCGCTGGGACGAGAGGAAGTGGATAGTGGAACTTGACGGTATTCTTGTTTAGAACCCGGTAATCAATGCAAGGCCTCAAACCCCGTCCTTCTTGGCCACGAAGAAGAAGCTGGAAGCAGCAGGGGACGTGGAAGGGCGGATATAGCCTTGATGTAAAGCCTCCTCGATATACTCCTCCATGGCTTTCTGTTCAGGAAGTGACAAGGGATAAATCCTTCCATGGGGCACTGGCTCACCCGAAATCAGATCTATGGCACAGTCCCATGGCCGGTGCAGAGGTAACTGGGAGGCTTTCTTCGGGCAGAATACATCACTGAAGGGGGCATAACAGGCTGGGACATCTACTGACTGTTTCTCTATCGGGCTTTCGATAGACGTGGAGCAGAGTGTGAGGGCTTCGGAGTGCGGAGGTGATGGCTGAGGAAGGTGAGGGAAACAGTCAGGAAAACAGGTGCTGCCCCACTTCAGGACCTCACCAGTTCTCCAGGAGATGGTAGGATCATGTTGCACCATCCAAGGGCGCCCTAGGATCACATCAGCGGTGGAATCCTCCAGAACCAGGAGATGAAGTGCTTCTTCATGCAATTGTCCAACTTGTAAGTGAAGAGGACCTACACTGTGGCGCACATGTTTCCAGCTGAGTGGTTTTCCAGTCACCAATTGGACCTGGTAAGTGGTCTGGGTGGTCGTGGTCGGGAGATGGAGTTGGCGGCAGAGACTTCCAGAGATGAAGTTCCCGGCCGACCCAGAGTCGAGGAGGGCGTGTACTGGAAGGGAGATACCAGCGGCAGTAAGTTTCACAACAGAGGTGAGGGGCTGCATATTAACTATTGATGGTTTAATAACACTCACCATAGGTCGTGGCGGGCAAATAGGGCATGCCGCGATCACATGCCCTCCAGCTCCACAGTACAAACCCAAGCTCTGGCTCAACCGTCTCTGCCGCTCCCAAGGGGAGAGTCGAGTGCCATCCACTAGCATGGGTTCCTGACCTGGTTCTGGGGGGCTGATGGTGTCTGGCCAACGGAGGAGGGGAGTGCATGGAGAGAGGTGAGGTTCCATAATGCAAGATTGCATGCGATTAGCACAGCGGATGGATAGCTGGACAAACCGTTCCAAGCCGTAGGAATCATCATATGCCACGAGCTGAAGTTGCACTCTCGGCTCAAGTCCCTGCTGGTAGGTGGTCATAAGTGCACGCTCATTCCAGCCGCTGGCTGCTGCGAGGGTTCTGAACCTGAGGGCGTAATCAGTTATAGACAGAGATCCTTGACGGAGGTGATATAATTGATCACAAACAGAGGTATCGCCCACGGCTTTACCAAAAACCTCTCGGAAATGTGCAATGAAATTATCAAGGGATTCAGTCACTGTACCAGCTTGGGACCAGATGGTCTCTGCCCATTGGAGTGCTCGCCCCGTCAGTAAGGATATGACGAATGCTATCTTGGCGCTTTCCGTTGCGTATAGCTGAGGCTGCTGCGTCAGTGCGAGCGAACACTGCAGCAGAAATCCGTTGCACTCCTCCGCCAAGCCAGAGAAGGGTGCTGGTCGGGCCATGGGACTGGTAAGTATTATCGTGGAAGAGGGAGCGGGGGTGGTGACGGGCGGAACCGGTGGTGTGACAACGGCAGGGGTGAGTATCCTTTTGAGGGCATCCACGATCTCCTGGAACGGGTCGGGAGCACTCATCTTGCTGACTCCTTTGCGGTCCGATCTTCTGTTACGGAAGGAGACTCACACAGAGGGTTAGAGAGATACAATGATATTTATTTACAGCAAGTGAAGCAGAGGGTAAGGGCAGGGGAGTATAAAGCTAGTTCAGAAGTCCTTTGGGAAGATGAGGAGAGATAACTCTAGTATGGGGATTCCCTGGAGATCGTGGAAGGGAGATGGAGAATAGCACACACCTCAGATGATGAGTGACGGGGTATCCACGGAGCAAGGGACTGGACCGAACACTGGAGGAACCACTGGAGGAAACACAAGAGGTAAGTACAACTGGTAGGTAAGTCTTTCAGTGAATCTTACGGATATCATAGAGAGACAGTCCACTTTGTTGGAACGAGATCGGACACTGGAGTGGTGTGAGGTGTGTGCTTAAGAATGGGAGCTGAGGGTAATTGTTAATCCGTGACAGGTGCGTGTGATCAAAACTCAGGTGATGGTGTTCGGTGTGATTGTGAGGTGGCTGAGCCTGGCCGATCTGTGACAATGACAGCCTTAATTATAGATTGTGTGCCTGGCAGATGTTTTTAAAGCTCAATCCATTATTTGATGTTATTTAAATGTCTTCCTTTCTCCACCTGATCCCATGTATCATGCCACATTTTATTAGTATTGTCTTTAACGATAACTTTAATTTCTGATTTACTAAGTGGTAGTTACATATCTATGTGTTCTGTCTTCAGGACTTCTTTTGCCAACCTATCCACCTTTACATTTCCCTTAATACCCACATGCGCTGGAACCCACGTAAACTGTGTATACATTTTTTGCTGAGTTAGTCTAAAAATGAATTGATTTATTTCATCCAAAATATCTTGTCTACATACAGATTTTCCACTCTGGATACCTAACAATGAGGACATGGAATCTGAGCAGATGACTATCTTATACAGCTTAACTTCCTCTATCCTCTGTAGTGCTAAAATAATGGCCACTATGTCAGCTGAGAAGACTGATAGGTGATCTGAAATTATTTTTTGGATGTTAATACTGTATTTTGGGATGAATGCAGCTGCACCTGTTTTGCCAGTTATTGGATCTTTGGATGCATCTGTGTATATCTGTATTGTATCTTCATACCTGGTTTCTATATACTGTTGAATATTTTGATATATGCCAGATTTTGCAATGTCTTTTATTTCCATATTTACTGTACACTGTTAACCCTTACTGTAGAAAAATGGCCAAATTCTGACAGTAACATACCACTTTCTATAATAACAGTAATATACTGTAGAAAACAATGCATTCTGGGTAATATTGGTAATTTTAAAAGCAGCCTACAGGAATATACTGTGAATTAACAGAGCTCAAAGTAGGCACTCAGAGGTTGTGTTCAAAATCACACCCTATACCCTCATTCACTATTCCTTACATTAGTTTACTTGACCGAGTGAATGAAAGGAAGTGAGTGAATTCAGACACTGATGAACACCTGATGATAACAAGCAGAATCACTGAAGGACAGAGAAACAAGGACAGAAAAAAGAGAAACAAGCAGACACACAAGAACAACAACTGACTTCCACTTCCAAGTTTCATGCCGCAATGCATGCTGGGTTCCAGCATAAAATGAAACTCCCAGCATGCACTGAAGCATGAATAAATTACGCAGCTGAAAAGTCTTACTATTTTCTTTATTTGCATGTATTGTTTTGCTGACATTTTTGTTGTGACATTTTGTAGCCTGTTTTGAGATATTAAAAGTTTCTCTTTCTTTTTTTTTATTGCTACCATTGTTGAGATTCATATGCTGATTTTTGATGTCTGCGTGTTTTTCAATGATGCAGGTTTTTTTTTTGTTCAATATTCAAATATTCTTTATTTTAATTGATTGCTGCACTGACTCTTGTTGTAGTTTCACAGCGGTGGTAATATGAAATTTAACTGTGTTAATAATGTAGTGCATTTGTTGAGGTATTAAACACAATGAAATTAATGAATCAAGAAGCTACATGATGAGCACTTTGTCATCAATAAACAACCATCATTCACTGATTATCTTACTCTGTTTTTGCTGTAACAAATGTGCATTGTAAACACACGATTAGAACAGCCAGAGAAATAGCTGATATTAAAAATTCAAGAGTCAGGAGTCCAACTGAAGCAAACACTGACCACCAAAACAGTAATTCAGACCAAACATTTTCAATAAAACATACGATAAGAGCTTCTGTAGACCTATGACAGAAATAAAGTCAAACTGGTTAGTAATAAGTGTAATAATGTGTAATGGCTGGAAGTCAGTTGTAGTTCTTGTGTTTCTGCTCATCTCTTTTCAGTGTTCTGTTCTTGTTCCTCTTTACTTCAGTGATTCTGCTTGTTAACAGCAGGTGTTCATCACTAATACTCAGGAATTACTTACATATTAACTTGATTATCTCACTGCAACCCTGCGTCAGTGTTACTTTTTCTCTTTGTAGTGTGGATACTAGGATTTTCCTGTGGGGTTGAAAGGGTTAAGGAAGTGTTATTATCTTTTTGTTATTTTTATTTTCCCATATGTTAGGTAAGTTAGATTTAAAATTGAGTAAGATAGTGTTTTCTTTGTTATTTTGTCTATGCCCCCTCCTGAAACCTTTTTGGTTTGTTTCTGTTGTTCCTTTATGTAATAAATTTAATTTGTAGTGGATCTTTTAGTGGTTGGCAGTGTTCTTTAGGACTGGGATGAGAGGCTCAATGTGGACTTTCCTTTCATTTTGTTACGTATTCCACAATTCCCCTAGATTAATTACAAAACAGGATCGCAACACTTGTGATGAATATGTAAGCATGTTTATTATTAAACCCTTGACTGTGATAATATTATCATCACCATACATTGTGTAAGAAGACATGATTTTGATTAAAATCTACCAATCATTGTACATATTTACTAAGAACTCAATAATGCAGAAAAACTGAAAGCAAGCATTCATAGATTTTTCCCCCTAATGATTAACATCAAGAAAATAATTACAAATCACACTAAATATTCTTGTACAATAATATAGACCATTAAAGCCAACATAAATCACTCGAGGAGACTAAAGTACAGGATGAGTCAATGAACTCTACCAAGAAAAAAAAAACTAATAGTAAAAGACAATAATCTCTACACAAAAGTCATAATAGATGAAAATTGATGTCAGATTAATGACTATTATTTATAGAGAGGAGCACAGATTTGCATGTAATATGTATTCTAGTTGTACATGTGTTTTACTGTATAATAATGACACCTCTCATTTTCCACTGATGATGTGGTTCTCAGTGTTGTTTTTGTCCACAGCAAAGACATCTGAAGAACTTCCTGTACTGCTGCCTGACCTGAACAAGAACGAGATGAGAGGAGCAGAGTGACTTCATGAGATCAATTTAACCTCTGAAACTCATGAAGCAGAATGAATGTGTTTATATTAACCAGGTAGGAAAAAGTGTTTATAAAAATTCAGATTTGAATTTTCTTAAGTAAATACTTTTCTTCCATATACTGTCTCTGGTGAAATGGTTTACCTGTGGTTGAACTCATTACTGAGGGCAAGAAAAGAAAGCCAAAATTTTCAAGTATGAAAGCTGAAAGATCATTAGGCGTGTTTCCATTACCCTTCAAATTGCGCAAATTGAAATTGCGAATTGAAAATACGCCTAATGGAAACGCGTCAATTTCGCAAAAAATGCCCATATATCGCAAAAAAAATCAGTTTTTACGCTCACATGAGGTGGTTTTTCAGGCAATGCGAAAAAGGAATAATTTGCAAAACTGCATTGGAAACATTTTTTTTGCATTTACAGGTCACATGGCGTATGTAAAAATTCATATGATCATTCTTCAATGTACTATAACATCCAAGAAACACTTCATACATGGCCGCTCTCCAGTATAAGGAGCTTTCCCTACTATTAATACTTAGACAATTTACACTGCACACGTCTGCGGTGCAGTGTGGCTCTGATACGGTCACTGAAGCTGATTGCGGCCACTCTAGTCAATGCTTGTGCTTATTCCAGCCGCGCCACGCACGTTTCTGCTTCTGTAAAGATACACGCATAAACCTCCTTTGAATAAATATAGTCAAAATCCCACCAAAATCCGTTGCCATGACTTATCGCGAGAGGCAAAAGGTTACGTTTTAGTCGCATAACATTGGTTAATGGAAACGGCGTCATTTCGCAATACTTTTTTATCGACATGTAAAAAATATTGCCAAAGTTTTTCGCAAATCTGTAATGGAAATGTGCCTACTGGCATTCTTTGTCTGTTTAAATTAAAATTTTTGACAGTTGGAGTTTGAATAGTTTTGGCTCATTTGAATATTCCATCACAGGAAAGAAAATGGAAGAGTAAGGGGCCGTTCACACAGAACGCGTTTTTCCATTCCAATGCGCTACTTTTCCATTGTTTTGTAAACACGTGCTTGACGGATGTGCATGACCATAACGCTCGCGTCTTTTGCAGCGCCTCGCACATGAGCACCGCGTTTTTAAGACGCCATGCCAAGTTAAAATAATTTCAACTTTTTCACGCAGCGCCGCTCATCAATGTCAGTTCTAAAGCAGTGGACCAATCAGAAGAATTTGGAGGCGGGGCAAGTGTTGCAAGCTTCTGTTTACATGACAGCAAGTTGGCATGACATCTGTTTTATTTAACAGCAATGTGGCAGAGGAGGCGCTCATAGTGGCTGTGTCCGGATACCCTGAATTATACCCAGTGCAATTATTTAATTTTTTTCCATGTCAAAACCTGTAAATATATAGTTCAGCCATGAAACTCTAGATGGCGCATTCTGACGGGGTGTTAACGTAACTGATATTCAGAGAGTTAAACGACTTGGCACACGCTGATTGGTTCATGCTGCATATGCAGCCAGTGAGCTTACTGCCTTGCATTTATATGGGTGGCTAGCATTCACTTGAGATTCTCTGAAACCCTCCACCTTCTCCAGCTCCACCTGTATAGATCTGCTACAGGGTTATTTTATATGCAATTTGTGCAGCAGCAGTATGTCTTAAATACTCATGGCACCATATCGCCATATGCATTGGCAGTAGCAAGTTCCTGTACTTGCTTTATACGCAAAGACGTGTTGTGTGTGAATTTCCCCTAAGGCCCCGTTAACACAGAATGTTTTTTTTGCAGTGAAAGGCACCATTTTTTAATTATTTTCTATTGGCAGTGAGTGTTTTGTATGCTGTTTATGCGCCCCGAACACCTCGCGTTTTTGTAGGAGCGCTCTGAGCACCTGAAGATTTTAAAAAATCAACTCTGACCGGTAAAGCACGCAACGTCATTTTTTCCATTGTCCAATCAAATGAATGGAGAGGCAGGCCTTCCATTGTGGTGACAGAAGTTTACAGTTGCTTAGAACGTCCGGAGACTGTAATGATGGAGGATAAACTTGTCTCCTGCGTGTTTGTACACCTCTCACCCTCGATCAAGGTCAGAGCAAGCGCCCTCTGCTTGTCCATTTTCTTTTTAAGTTTCTGCTAATATGACAGTTTACTTAACAGCAAACCAAAGTTTCTAGAGCGCTCATGCTATAATCCTTGATTAGACTGACAGGACAGCTGATTTGATGGTTGCCTAGCAACATAAAAAAACTGCAGTGCACTGCTCTTTTCTAAATTAAAAAAGGCAGTGCGGTGCGCCTCGCTTTTTCAAACCTGAAAAACGCGTTCTGTGTGATCGGGGCCTAACATATTAAAAAACCCTCTGACGTTCCTCACTGAAATCACAGATTGCCAAATTAAGAAAGGAACTTCCATTAAAAACAACTGTAATATTATTTAATATCCAGAATTTAGATGCAAATTGAGTAAATGTCTGACCTCATTATTGAAGACACAGTAGATCAGGAAGATGAAGGTTCCCTGCTGGGAGTTCAAGATCAGGAAGAGGATCTCCAGCACCTTACTGCCATTAGTGAAGAAACACAGAATCCAGGAGCAACCAAGAACCACAAACTGAGCCAGTGTTTTAAACACCATGATCCTGCGGAGAAAGAGAGATATTTCCTGTGTCTTTACTGACTGTAAATGTGGTTTTCTACAGAGTGATAAAATCATAATGTTACTTGGTTTGTTTCATCTGTGAAACTTCAGGGTTGAGAGTTTTGAGAGTTGAGTTCAGACTGATGATGATCTTGATGAAGAGAATAATGTTCAACTGCAAAGTAGAGGAGTAATTAATCACCTTGTTTTCCTTTTAGAATAAATCAAAGTCTTTAGAAATAAGAAATGTGTTTACTGCTAGTATGACGCAAACAGGACCCAGAAAACTCCAGATGAAGCCTTTATCCCTTTTAATCCAGCAGCTGTATAGGGGGGGATGCAAAATAACCGAATGAATTTGTCTGGTGAAATATTACAGATTTGAATCTTGTGCATGACATTAATACAGCCTGTGTCAGAGTTCTTATCGGATAGTTGAAATGACACAAAATCCCCAAACGAATTTATTTCTTTCTAACCAAATTAACTTAAAACAACAACAACTCACTGTTCACTGCCGTAGCCTTCAGGAACCAGACCGACAGACACACACACCACAACCAGAGCAACCAGATATCCAATCACACACAGGAATCCACTGCTAAGCACCGCCCTCTTTTTGGAGCTGAGCTGTGATAGGTTCTTCACACAGATGAAGAGCAGCACAGCTTCAATGAACATCCACACAAAGCCGGAGAGAAAGAGGAAGTGCAGAAGGCCTGAGATCACGGCACACACAACCTGGAGACCATGAGAGACGGTTATGA